CCTGTGTCCCCCTGGGACAGTATACTACAGACTACCAAACCAGGGTGAGGAACTCAATCTAGAGTTCGCTCAACAACTGACAGGGGCTGTGTATGCATGGGACATGGTCATCATGGGCGACTTTAATTATCCAGACATCTCTTGGGAGGAACACTTGGCCAAGCTGTATCGGTCGTGTTCCTTCCTGATCTGCATCAAAGACTTTTTTCTGACTCAGGAGGTGCACAGGCCAATCAGAGGTAATGCTTTTCTAGACGTGGTCCTGGCCAAAGGAGACAACCTGGTGACTGACTTAAATATAGAGGGCAGCCTGGGTGAGAGCAACCATGAAACTATTATGTTTACTGCCCATTGCAAGGCAGATGAATTACATAGCAGGTTTGACGTTTTGGACTTAAAAATGCAAATTTCAGCAAGCTCAGGTAGGGAAGGTACTGCGGGACCAGGGACCAAAGGCGAAAGGAGTACATGAAAAGTGGTTGTTCCTTAAGGACACAATCCTTGAAGCATAAAGGAAGTCCATTCCCACGTGGAGGAAAGGTACTAGAAGGGCTGGCAAGCCCTCTTGGCTAAACAGAGAAATCACAGCCCTCTTAAGAAAGAAGAAAGAGACGTACAGACAATAGAAGCTTGGGACAGGCCCCCAGGAGGACTATACAACTATGGCCCGCACTTGTAGGGATCAGATTAGAAAAGCTAAGGCAGTGACTGAACTAAAATTAGCAACAGGAATCAAGGACAACGAGAAGTCCTTCTTTAGGTACGTAGGGAAGAGGCGGAAAATAAACGGGAGTGTGGGGCCGCTGCTCAACAACTCAGGACAGCTGGTTACCAGCACTCAGGAGAAAACTGAACTCCTGAATGACTACTTTGTTTTGCTCTTTCACTGGGCCAATGGGGAAAATCTCACTAGATAGGGTACAGAACGAGCAGGGTAGAAATGACCACCTTCCTACTATTGTCATTGAACTAGTGTGTGATCAATTAAAAAAATTAGACCTATATAGTCAGCAGGACCAGATGAATTTCATCCGCGAGTGCTGCAGGAGCTGGCCAAAGTCATCATAGAACCCCTGGCAAAGCTCTTCCAAAACTCTTGGCACTACAGAGAGGTCTCTGAGGACTGGAAGAAGGCCAATGTTGTGACCATCTTCAAGAAGGGGAGAAAAGAGGACCCAGGTAACTATAGGCCAATTAGCCTAACTTCTATCCCAGCAAAAATCCTGGAAAAATTAATTAAGGAGTCTATGTGCGATAGGCTTGCAGAAAGTACGATTCTGAACGACATCCATCATGGCTTCATCGTGGGCAGGTCGAGTCTTACCAACCTTATTTCCTTTTATGATCAGGTAACTCGCCACCTGGATAAGAGAGGGGAGGTTGACATTGTATATCTTGACTTCCAGAAAGCTTTTCATCTGGTATCCCATGATCTCACAAGGAAATTGGAGGATTGTGGGATTAACTGTAAGACAATAAGGTGGGTAGGAAGGTGGCTGCGGGGTAGGACCCAGAAAGTTCTAATGAACAGATCTGTGTCATCTTGGCGAGAAGTGACCAGTGGTGGCCCACAGGGGTCGGTGCTTGGTCCAGTGCTATTCCCATGCATCAGTGATTTAGATGTGGGGGTGACGAGCTCACTGGACAAGTCCAGAGGCCTTCTTTAAAAGGCATCCCTGCATAGTGCTCCCTGACCTCCTGTGTTTCAGGCCAGAGCAGTTTGCAGCATGCTGGCACAGCCCTCTATGACTTTGTCTCCAGAGCCTGTGCCCACCATGAGATGGCTGCTCCACCCTCAGGCCCTGGGAGCAACAGCCCACACCCTGGGCTTCTGCTTACCTGCTAGCTGTGCTTCGCTGCCATGGTGACTGCTGTCTGGCCCTGGTCAGTCTTGGCCCTGGCTGCCCGCCTGTGCTGCACAACTGTATGGCCAAACTCACATCTGAGGCCCTCTGCCCCTGCGCTGATGCTGCCCAGCCCCTGGGCTGCCACCTGGACCCTGACAGGGACACCAACAATGCATACGTGGACACCACCACCAGTCCTGTCCACGAGCTCCTGGGGCTCCAGCCCCACCACCTGTGGGCCTGCCCAGCCAGCCAGGACTGGTAACTGTACATCATGCAGCACACCTGGGACAATGAGCAGTGGCTGGAGTCATTTTGGATGACCTGGGCCACCTTCAAGAGGTCCTCAGCCAGCTCCACACATACCTGGAGCAGCAGGCCACTACCATGCAGCTGCCTCATGGAGATCCGGCTGGCCATTGCCTTATTCAAGCTGGCCACACCTGCCAGCCTGCACTACATCAGCCACCTCTTAGGTGTGAGCAAGGCAGCCATTGGGGAGGCCGTCTTGGAGGTCTGCGGCACCTTCCAGGATGTGCTGGGGCCCACCGTACTCCAGGTACATGACCCCTTGGAGGTGGTGGCGGGGTTCTATGCCCTGGGCTTCCCCCAGTGCATCAGGGCCCTGGATGGGCCCCACACCCCCATCACCTGTGGCGACTACCCCTACTACAGCCAGCAGGTAGCTGTTGTGCTGCAGGCCATCGTTGACCACCAAAGTGCCTTCACCAGCACGAGCACCAGCTGGACTGGCAGTGCTCACAATGTCTGTCTTCTGGAACTCTGCCCCAGCTAAGTCCCACTAGCCCCCACTTCCACCGCCTATGGTTCCTACAAGGCCTTGACCTTTATGTAGCAGTGGTGTGCCAACCAGTCATGCCCACGCTCCCGCATGCAGGCCACCAAGCCCTCATAGATGTAGGCACTGGAGCACCCGCCCCAGATGAACTAGCTCTAGACCTCAGCCTTTGCCCACAGTGCAACAAGGTCTGCAGTCTCATCTTGGGAACAGTTAGGCCCCTGGGAGGTGATGTGTGACATAGAGGATGATGTCAGAATGGCTGTCTCAACAGCCCTCTAGCTGCAGGCAAGAGTCTGGGTGCTGCTGGGCCTGGGTAGGTGGCTGCAGCACACAGCACTAGGGCACAGTGCGGGACGGGCAGGCAGGCAATGGGGCTGGTCTGGGGGCTAGCACTGGGGTTTGGGCAGGCTACTGCAGCTGGGTAGCGGTTGCTACTGCAGCTGGCTCAGGGCCACTGCTGCGAGACCCAGTGGCCACAGGCAGGCAGCAAGTGGCACAGGCCACAGGGTCAATGCAGAGTTTTAAAGGCCAGGCTGGGGCAGGAAAAGAGCTGCCTCAGCCCCAGGGCTGAAGAAGTTCCAAGTCCTGTGGCCCTGGGGCTAGCCCAAAGGTGGCCCCCTGTTGGTGGGGCTGACCGGGAGCAAATTTGCTCCTGGTCAGCATCTACACATACGCTACTGCACTGTAACTATGGCGCGGTTAATTTGCCACTTGCAGATGCAGGGAGCAAAATAACTGTGCAGTAGACTAAGTGACTGCGCAGTAACTCCCTGCATGTGTAGGCGGTGCTGCTTTACTGCTCAGTCTACTGCGTGGTAAAACATCTTATGAAGACGTGCCCAGTAACTGTCTGTTTGCATGCTCTAACCCCTGGTAAATGAAAGCTAAGCTGTGGTAGCTTAACTCACAATGAAAGACCTGTGAGTAAGAGTGCGCGCACAAGCAGTAACCATGGAGCAGCTGACACATAGTAAATTTATTCCCCTTTTATTTTATGATAGATAGTTTGTATGTCTATACCTTAAATACCCTTTCTGTCTCTAGCAGTGACCTTAGCACAGTGGCTCTAACTGTGGGCTTGATGCCTTTGTTCACTTACCGTAGTGAATACTTTGAAAGATGTTGCTGTTAATTACCATGTGTGAAATCTCCACAAGCAGCTTGTACATAAGAAAATTGCAGAGCCATGTTAAATAATCTACAAATATTACAGGTAGTTACAAGTAGAAAAAAAATCACTAAAATGAAGGTAGCTTCCTTCCTGGTGGTGAATAGGACATGAAAAATTCAACTCCCGTGTAAATGTGGCCTTGTACAGACATTCAGTTTCTCCTGAGAGATTCACTGCTCTCTCTGGAGCAATCACGAGTATACAGATGTTCAGGCTTTCTCAGCCAGGATAAAAATGACCACTCCAGGAGAAAAATAACCTGGGGACAACCAGTGTTAAATCACTCTCATTAGAGGTTTTTCTGTGAGAGTGAATGAAATTAGGAGATGTGTGAAGAGGTTAAAAGATAAATTATCTTTTTCTTATCTGAGGAAGAGTTTCAGATATGTGGTTGAACCACCGTTTAAGATAACCAGTTGAAAGCCTGACCTGTCTGACAACATCTTTTATAGTTTCTGGTTTCCTGTGAGAGCTGCATTCCCTAGTGCTTCTTATCCCCAGATTTAACTTGTTGCTGAGAAGTACAATATCAGGAAAATAGTATCTCCAGCTAAGAGAGAGGTAGAGCTAATGGAGCTGAGACAGGCATTCCTACAGAGATCATCTGGCACTGCCTTTGATAATAAACAGCATATTCTTCAGGAGTAATGCTTTCTGTACTGGCCACTAACATGCTAACTCTTCTCTGCAAGACTCTGTAATAGGGTGTTTTATCTCCTTAAGAAGGGGCAGACATCCCTGCTAAGGGTATTCAGGGGTGGGCCTTTTGATAATGTTGGGAGATTAAAATCACTAGAGGCAGAGGCTGAGGGAGAAGGCTGAAGGGCCAGTTTGAAAAGAGGAAGCAAGCAGTGACTGCAGCTGTCTACTACAAGGGGAGGCTAGGATGCTGTGCTTGGAGCCAGAGCCAGCACTAGTGCATCCTCCTTGAGTGTCTGGGACTGGGCAGAAGGGCTCGTGTTGTGTGTATATTCTTTGACTAATTTATTATCTAGGGACTATTTCGCTTAGGAGAACTGGCTGAGGACCTCATAAGATAGCACAACTGCTAGGAAACCTGCATGCAGACTCCCACTAGTAACACTTAGCCATTGTGACTGGGGCCTGCTGTAAGGTAGGTTGGTCTATAGTGTGTTTAGATTCTTAAGTGTTATTGCTATCTTTCTGGTTTTGTTTTCAGAGTACCTGGTGACATTGATGAAGTCAATGCATTGAAACTGCAAGTGGATCAATGGAGCATTCCCAGCAATTGTAGTGACCCCAGTATACCAGGTATGAGGACTCCATATCCATGTGTGTATGGGCCAGATCAGATTAAAATGTAGAGAAGGGTAGTGCGGATAGTATAAGAGAAATGCAGTTGTGTAGGAATGAATAAACAACACTGTTCTCAGGTTAGTTTAGCAGAGCTCTCCTTGTAAACAGCATTTTATACTGTATTCAGAGACCACCTGCAGTAATGCTTCTAAAAGCCAAATCCAATTTCTGGTTCCAGCCATCCCATCTTGGAGTTAATCAGTTTCAATAGGGTGAGAAGATAGGAGCACTGAGCTGTTGGAGATGAATCAGTTGGTGGTACACTTTCCTCTGAAGAACAGAACACCACCATTCAAATAAAACACAAAATTAAAATGTACGTGCGGTCAACAGTATTGTCTATTCCAAACATTCAAAAACCGTAAATCAGACCCGAAGAATCATGTGATTGACTTAAACACAATAAATGTCAGATTCTCTTCCTCTTTTTTCTGCCTTCTGAGCCTTATGGGTCTGACTCAGGTCACAATTTACAAGCTTTTTACTGCAAGCAGGAGGCCCCAAAACTTCTTTTTATTTGAAAGCTGAGATTGTCGTGCAGCCTTCTGACTCCAGAAGCTGAGGCTTCAGGAAGAACATCTAATATTGCAAGAGTTAAAGCAGGAGAGCTGACAACAGTGGGGCAGTAATGATCCCATTTTACTCTTTAAAAGTTCCCTGAACAAATTTTCCTTTTGAGGAAATCCACACTATCATAGCGTTTCTCATGCCTTTCCCTTTTTCCCTAGCCTCCCTGCTGAAGCTGTGGTATCGGGAGCTGGAGGAACCCCTGATACCACAGCAGTTCTACGAAGAGTGCATTGGCAGCTATGAGAACCCTGATGCTGCTGTGACAGTGGTACAGTTTTTGCCAGATCTCAACAAATTCGTCCTGTATTACCTCATACACTTCCTGCAGGTAAGCAGGCTTAGTGACCCTGCCCCATGTACAGGGATTGAAGCCCAGAAGTATGAAGAAAGCCCTTCTGGTTATAGCTGAGTCACTCAGATATTTGTGTACTAGAGCCTTTGGTCTGCATTCTGGGCTGACAGGCTCCTGACTTAGTCTTTTTTCCCCTTATTGGAGTTGCAGGCTGTGTTAATTTTCAGTTTGCCTTAAGAGTGAACAGGGCTGTAGATCCACCATGTTAAGTCCTCTGACCACTGCTGTGGTACCCATCCAAGAACAGACAGTCTGCCCTTTCTGAGCATGGAGATATTGGGGATACAATATCAGAAGGGTATAGTCTCTGCAGCTCCCCCCAGCTTTTACAGGGTCCAGGGGGTGAGGTGTAGGCCCAAGCCTTAATAGCCTCACACTTTTGCCATTGTTCTGGCTGACTGTCCTTCTTCTACCACAGATTTTTGCTCAGCCATATAATGTGGGCAAAACGAAGATGGATGTCAATAATTTGGCCATGGTGATGGCCCCCAACTGCCTGCGCTGTCAGTCTGACGACCCCCAGGTCATCTTTGAAAACACCCGTAAGGAGATGTCCTTCCTGCGCATGCTGATTGTGCACTTGGACACTAGTTTCATTGAAGGGATGGTGTGAGCGACCGGCTCTCCTGGGACTATGTTCCATGCCATCAGAGACAGCAGGGGGGTAAGGGAGCGCCACTTGGGAGATTCTACACATTATCCAAGCTTTTATTCATAGATTGTAGTCGGAAGGGACCCCGAAGGATCATCGTGTCTGACCCCCTGCCCCAGGCAGGAAAAGGACCGTGGTCAGATGACCCTAGCCAGGTGCCTATCTAGCCTCCTCTTGAAGACCTCCAAGTTAGGTGATAGTATCACCTCTCTTGGCAGCCTGTTCCAGATTCTTGCCACTCTTACTGTGAAAAATGTTTTCCTAATGTCTAACCTGAATCTACTCTCCACTAGTTTGTACCCATTATTCCTAGTTACTCCTAGGGTAAATAGCACATCTCCAACTCTCTGTTATCCTCCCCTGATAAACTTATAGGCTGCTACAAGGTCTCCCCTCAGACATCTCTTATGAAGGCTGAAGAGATCCAGATCTCTCAACCTCCCCTCATAGGGTTTTGTACAGAGGCCACTAATCATATGAGTGGCCCTCCTCTGGACCCTCTCCAGATTCTCCACATCCCTCTTCAAGTGCGACGCTCAGAACTGGACACAGTACTTCAGCTGAGGCCTGACTAGTTCCCTTCACTTAGATTTCCATTGTCATTGTTGCTGTTGTTGCAGTACTTGCTTCAGAGTAATCCTTCTGCCGGGGCGTCATGGGGCTGGCATCAGCATCAGCCAGGAGATGATTTTGTGGGGATAAGGACCAGAGAGTCTTGAGGCAAGGAAAAGCTCAGGGCTCTTCCAGTGGTGCATCACAAGCACTGAGAGCAAGCTTGGTGTCTGTGCCAGCCTTGCTCAGCTGCCCTTATATGGATTCACTGACTGACTAATGGGGTTTCCAGTCCTCACTGGAATAAGAGAAAAGCTGGTTTGGGGTGCGGGGATACCTCAGCCACTACAGGGATACCTGGCCTATGGCATAGGCATGCCCCATCCTGCCCAGCATATGGAAGCACTCCACCATTCTGATCATCTGGAACCTGGTTTACAGTTGACATGCAGTGAAATGATGCAGAGGGACTTCCCGATGAGAGAAGCCCTCTGTGGAGAGCACTGGACAGGGTGGGCAGTGGCATCCCATTATCATCCCCCTGCAGTGCTTGGAAGCCAGGGAATTATATGTTCTGGTAGTATGTGCTGCTGCAGTGGCCCAGGTGGGAATGAATTGGCCATGCTTCCTGTATTAGGGTGACTCTCCCTTTGCAGCTGGGCATTAGCCCCATGCAGTCAGCATCAGGGTTATAAGACCATGTGGAGGTTGCAGACAGGCAGCTGATTCAGAGTGTAGGACTGATGCATGCACTGATTCTGAGTAGCAACAGAACAGCTTGGGGGTCTTGATTGGCCACAAGATGGACATGAGCCACCAATGGGATGTCGTGGCCATCAAAGCAAATCAAACTCTGGAATGCATCCACCGCTGCATCTCAAACAAAACCAGAGCCATCATCCTCCCGCCTTACTCAGCCTTAGTGATGTTGCAGCTGGAGTACTGCATCCAGTATTGGGCCCCCCACCTCAGGAGTGGCATGGATAAGCTTGAGATTCGAAAGGAGAGCCACCCGTATGATCAAAGGCCAAGAGAGAAGCCTTACAAGGAGGGGCTGAGGGACATGGGACTCTTTAGCCTGGAGAAGAGAAGGCTCAGGGGTGACTTGGTGGCAGCCTATATAAGAGGGGTTGCATCAGGATCTGGGAGAACAGTTGTTCACCAGGCTCCCCCAAGGGATAACAAGGTCTAACGGCCACAAACTCCTGGAAGGCCAGTTTAGACTGGACGGAAGGGAAAACTTATTTACTGTCCAAATGCCCAGAGTCTCCCCAGAGGTGGTGCAAGCACCTACTCTGGACTTTTTCAAAAAGCATTTGGATGTTTATCTTGCTGGGATCATTTGTCCCCACCAGACTTCCTGCCCGTGGCGGGGGGCTGGACTCGATGATCCCGTGAAGTTCCTTCCATCCCTAATGTCTGTAAAATCTATGAAGTCTATGTCTGAAGACAAATGGTGTGTGACAGGCTGGGGGTTGGCTTTGTCGTGTCCATTCATTTCTCTTGCATCTTCTGCCATATAAACAGATGACACTTCTACATCATTCTATCTCTTTTCTGACCAAGTTCCAAAGGTGGCTAGGAGAAGAAGGCATATCTTGCACTGACACTCCTGACCTTGGATCAGAGAGCTACAGAAGTGGCTGAGTGCCAGCTTTGGATTGCACCAAGCATTACTTCTTTGGCCTGGTAGACCCCAGGCTTGGTCTTGAGAGGAGATGAGAGGAGTGGACACTTGATTGGTAACAAGAGATGACTAGGTCAGCATTTGCTCTTGTGCTTGGAGGTGTGGGAGGGAAGCACTCCATTGAGAAGAGGGCATTCTTCCATGCCAAGCCAGGCTCAGTAGTGCTATTTTTGCCTACTTGTGAAATGCTGAGGTGGGAGCCAATCCCAGATTTCTCCCCACTTAGTTTCTAGCACAGGTGAGAGCAGCTTGTTCTAAAATCCTGTTTAAAAATAATTTTTAAAAAGGCAAGCAGCATGTGGCTTTCATGTTTCAGAGCCCTTCTGAGAGGAGGTAGGCTGGAGGTCTCCTGAATGCAGTGGCTGAGGTTATGCACCCATTTACACCAATGGGTGTAAATGCTCCAGGCTTTCCTTGGGCCAGTGAGAATATGGTGAACTGCAGCAAAGGGGGTGTCTATAAAGCTGCTCAGTGGGAACATGGGGTTTCCACCAATGAATCAGGGTATCCTAGGGAGCAGGATTGCATTCAGATGGGTTCCTTGACCAAACTTTGGTCTGTGCTCTGTAGAACTAGGGGTTTCCTTCCTTGTAACATGTCTTGGGGCAGGTACTAGATAGTGCTGCTTATGTTGGAATTGATTGTCAGTCACTCAGAGAGCAGCAGGGGTCTGCTTCCTATCATCACCCCACTGTAGTACTCAAAACCAGTCACTTCCTTTGGCCTTCCCAAGGTGGGGTAGACTTTTTCTCTGGAAGTGAAGCAGGTTTGGAGCTTATGATGAGTACAGGGTTTCTGGCTGTGCAGCTGTTTGTTGATATTGGAATTCTTAAACAGCCCCAAGGTGTAACCTGCTGCCCCCAAATCTAATGGAAAGGCCTTTTAGTCTGTCTGTCCCAGGAGCCCCTTTGACTGGATTACACATGCTTACCCCTGGGTTGCAAACTGCAGCCAAATACAATGAGCAATTATTCAAATTCTTTCTTGCACTTAGGTGTAGCAGTTGGATAGATGGATCAATAGATGATCAATAGATATTTGCTGCTGTTACAGAGGAATGCTTTTTGCTAGGACTCTAAAATAGGCTAAGAAGTAACACTGGGTATTATTTTCTTTTTTGCCAACAAAATTCTCAATGTGAATCAGTAAAGCAGCCTCTCCTCTGTTGTTATAAGAATAAATAAAACCTCAGTGGTTAACCCTAAAAACTTTCTGCTTATTTTTTAAACTTGCTTACTTTGTCTGGAGCTGTCCATGCCAGTGAACATCAGTGGGGTAGTGAATAAACAATGATATATGCACTGAAGATATACAGAAACATATTTTTGCCCAAATGTATTTTAGGCAATTGTGGGATGCTTTGGATCCTTTTACCATCCTAGCTGCAGCAAGACAACTGGAAGCTATCTTTTGTTTTGGAGCTATACGCTCTGTTGAATCGTGTCAATAAATATGATGATGTTTTGTTTTCTGATTCTACCTACTAAATATTAGAGCAATTGCCAACAGCAACTCTATTTTAAGCTCATCCTTCCACAAATTTCACTATTTTTGAAAACCACCTTTAAAACTGAAATGATAGTTCAAGCACACCACTAAACTAACAGGCTAGAAAAAAAAAAGGCTTAAAACCCCTCAACCTTATGAGCTATTGGAGGATCTAGGAACTACATTTTATCAGTTGTATTTACATTGTTGCTCCTCTTCCAGTATCTCCAGGACCCTGTAGGTTGGCTTCCTGTTGGAAGAAAAATAATTGGGTGTATAGTCTGGATATATTTAAAACATTTTTTTTATTTACAAATACATACGTGGGTCCTGGAATAGAGATGTTCAAACAACACACACAGTGATTTCTTCCTCTAGGAATCTTGACCCCATACCTAGTTCCAAGTAGCATCTTTGTCTTAAGAATAGTTTCCAAACAGAGAGCGAAGTGGAAATAAATTTTTCTTCTGCGCCCACAGCTCCCTCTACTTGGAGCTTTGCGTCACAATATCACTACACAGCACATCTTCCCAAGACAGAACATGTGTTAGCATGCTAAGAAAAAGAACTTTGAAGCCTGCACATGTAATAACACTACCTTTTGACATGGCCAGAACATGTCCTGCCTCTAGGAGCTTCTAAGATTCCTCAAATCAAAAGGAAAGCATATAGACAATGGAAGCAGAGGCATGACAACACAGCTGGGTGCCCAGGGAAGCTGCGACACTTCTGGCTACCTCCTGTGTCACCAGCACAACTTCATGGCTACAGTAGCAGTGGGTTTTTTTTACTCCACACCAAGTCAGCACCTGGGGTGGCTGCCCTGGGCACCTCTCCCTAGTCATGCTGCTGAATGGAAGGATAGGCAGATTATCAAAAAAGCATACCAGGAAAGACAAAATCAGGGAGACAAAAGTAAAAAATGAGCTTCACCTGGTAAGGAAAGTTAAAGACAAGAAGAGGTTCTATAAGAATGTTGTCCATGAAAGAAAGACAGAGCTGTGGGTCCACTGTTAAATAGCCAGGCTGTGTTCTTAACAGATGATGCAAAGAAAGCTGAGCTGCTCAGCAGCTACTTTACCCCAGTCTTTGCACAAAAAAAGTTGCAACCAGACAGCTAATAAGAATTATTTGACAAGAAAGGAGACAAGCTGAGGGATGAGGTAACAAAAACAGTGGGAAAGCTCTGGGTCTAAGTGAATTGAAATCGGCAGGGCTTGATGAACTTCATGCCAGGATACCAAAGGAGCTGACAGAGAAGATCTTGGAGCCCATGTCAATAATATTTACAAAGTCATGGAAGGTAAGGTGAGGTACCAGAGGACTGAAAAGGGGCCAATGCACTGCCCCTCTGAAAAAAGGCCAAAAGGAGGACCCAGGACATTATAGATCAGTTACTTTGACTTCAATACCTGGGAAGTTACTGGAGCATAGCTCTATTCATCTCCCAGTGATCCGTGTGCATGTATGTGTGTGTGCGTGTGTGCATGTGCAAGCATCTGGAGGAGGAAAGGCAGACAGCCAGCATGCTGATGCTCCTGCTGGAAATAAAACCCAGAGGTCCCTGGTTAAAGGATCTTGCTCCTCCATTCAGGGTCATACCAACCACCACATTTGGGAACAGGAAAGAAATTTATCCCACAGTCAGATCAGAATGGACTGCAGAGATTTTGCCTTTCCCTGTAGCAGGGGGCATGACCTTTCCTCTTGAATCTCTGGAGCATATTTTAACAACCCTTGCAGAAGCAGGACACTGACAGTGTTCTCATTCCCCTGCTTTAGGTATGGCAGGTCAGGGTGTTCTTGGTGTTTGGAGCCAGTAGGGTTATTGTGTAGTTTTAGGAATAGTTTAGACAAGCACCTGTATGGGATGGTTTGGATAGGGATGGTCCTGCCTTGAACTGGAGTTGGATGAAATGAAATCTTGAGTTCCTTTCAAGTTCTTATAAAATTGGGATAATCATGCTGCCGATTTACCCCAGGGCCTGACTGTCTGACCAGTTATCCACATCCAAGACCAAAGAAGCAGCTGAAGCTCCCAAAATGTTGATGCCTGAACTGCTTCTCTTTATATGCCCTGGAATTGTCTCAGTTCCAGGACTGCTGTTTTTAGTGACCCAATAGATGAGTCTTTCTCATGGTTACACTCTGAGTTACAGGTTGTAGGCTGCTGATAACTGGCTTTTGCTGGCAACACTCCTACTTAACTGGCTCTCTCCCATTTCTTGCCTGGTTCCCTTTACAACAGACTATAGCAGATCTTGCTGTTAGATGCATATAAAATGAAGTAGGATGCTGGGAGTCCAAGAAAACCATATGGGGCTGAGCCCAACATCAAAGTTCTCTGTGTAAGATGGAAGGTCTCAGATCTGTTAAGTAGCTGTGCTGAAGCTAGGGCTTCACTACATGTGGCTGTTCTCACTGGACAAATGACTAGCTAGGTTCCTGCAAACAGACTCTCTGTTGTGGGCACAAGCCCTTCTCAAGATAGCAAGGGGACCCTTAGCCCAGGGGTAGGCAAAATACTGCCCACGAGCTGGATCTGGCCTGCAAAGGGGCTTTATCTGACCTGTGGTGGGTCCCTCGGTTCTGCCTAGCCCAGGCGCTGTCTGACCATGGTATGTCCTGCTGCCCCCTGGGCACACAGTGGCGCTGGGGCAGCTCTGCGGATGGACTACCTTTCTAGGCAGATCAGGCAGTGGCAGCTTCTTCCATCTGCCACCACCACTGACCCCAGCTCTGAGGTACTGGTGGGGACCCAAGCCACAACCCCAAACCAGCACACTCCGCACCTGCTCCAGACTCACTTGCTCATGTTAAACAGCGACTCTCCCCCTCACTGCTGCCTGGCACTCCCTGTTACAGTTGCCCAGAGCCCACACCCAGGCTGCCCTGTGGCTCCATTGCCATCACTGCTGCCTTGGGGCTGCCCAGAAGGGCAGCGTTGACAGCGCAGAGCATACTCAGGGCACCCTTGTATGGGCTCTGGGCAGCTGTAGTAGGGAGTGCTGGGCAGTGGCGAGAGGGAGGGGCTGCTTTTCCCATGCACTGAGCAACAATTTCTGCCCACCTGGCATTGCTGCTGCCGCTGTTTAGCATGAGCAGGCAAGTCCAGAGCAGGCACGGGGCGCACTGGGTTGGGGCTGTGGCACAAGTTCCCGTTGATCCACTCTTGCCAGGGTGAGTCTGGAGTGGACGTGGGGTGGGCTGGGACTGCACACTGCTGGCGAGAGCTCTGGGCTGTTGTGGGGCGGGGGTGCAGGCTGACCGGCTCAGGGGAACACGTGGGGGGTCCCATACACACCTCACCATACCCACAACCCCTCCCCGCCGCAAACCCAACAACCACACCCTCCCCCACACACAATCACACACACCACAAAACACTGCACCCACCCACACCCTCCCCCACATCCCCCACACACACACGTGCCTCTAGGGGGATCCCTGTGCACTGCTACGCACACACACCCCAAGCACATCCCACCCCCCCACACACACACACACACGTATCCCCACAAACCTCCCATACCCACCTACGCACATCCACACATGCCCCAACCCCCCACATGCACACATGCACAAACCCACACCCCTCCATACCCCCTGCAATATATAAGAGTTAATTGTTAGCTATTATGCAATCACCTCTATATACATAACACAAACACACAAATCAGGACAAAAATTTTTTTTAAATAAAATTAAAATGTGTTATTGTGGATGTTTGATTTTTAGTATATAATTTTTTTTTTCCAGTTCCAGGATGGCAAACCCCCTTCCCAAATAGAGTACTTCCAGGGGTGAGGGGAGGGACTTCTGGTGGCAAAGGTCAGGTCAGGGGTTAGGGGGTGGGACTTCCGGTCCCAAGATCGCGACCAGGGGGTGGAGCACTTGTCAAGGGGCAGGACTACCCTTGCAGCCTTCAACAGCCCATCAAAACTTGATAAGCATCTCTTTAGCTAAAATAATTGCCCACCCCTGCTCAAGACAGCAAGGGAACTCTTTGGCTCTGGCACATACAGTAGCATGGCCCCTTCCTGGTAGCAACTTATTTTGGTTCCTGTTTGCCTCCTGCCTGCACAAATTGCTCCTTCACCCAGTTTGCCTCCCTTTGTTCTCTTGTGACAGGTTAGGTGCCTGAGGGCTGTTCTGATGCCTCATATAGGCCCCCTCATCCCTGCTAGGCTCTCTCTCTGCACTTTCTCTCAAGGTCTCACCTTGCCTTCTTGCCTGCCATATCTTGTTGGAAACTTCATGAAAGGGAGGCCTGCTTCAGAGACTTGCAAGCCTAAGATGTTCTTTTATCCAGTGGTCAACTCTCTTGACCTTGCTTGCCTACAGGGTTTATTGCAGGGCTCTGTCTGCCCCTACGCCACACCTCATGCCTCACAGGTGCACTGTCACTCTCCCGTTGGAGCTTCAGCCTTCTTGGCCTCCACCCCTTTTCTCTAGCTGGGCCTTCTAGCCCAAGTCCACTATATTGAACCTGGCTTCTAGGCACCAGCTGTAGTCTTGTCCTCTCAGGCACTGGGCCCCTGGCCCCAGTCTACCAGGTCCCCTAGCCCTTCAGACTCCCTAGTTCCCCACTCTGCCCCTCCTTGGGCTCTCAGACCCCCCTGGTCCCACATTCTGTCCTACTCTGGGCTCTCTGGCCTCACACTCTGTCCTGCTGTGCCTTGAGCCTGCCCTTGGCTGGGTTCAAGGTGATCACATACTCCTAAGGCACTAATGGGGCCTCCAACAACCACCCCTCACAGTCCCAGCCCAGACTACCAGTTTATATCACAACACAATGCAAAAAGCCCTCTGGCTACAACAGAAAACTATTCTCCATACTGGATCTCAACATAAACGTTCACTCTCAGTCTGAACCCCCAGGCTGTCTCCCATACTGGGCCTCATTTCCCTGTAGACTACAGGCATCTAGCTTGCTGGTCTCAGGGCCTCTCCCCTCAGCCAGGCAGTCCCTTTTAGCCTCCCTGCCCCAGAGCTCCTTCCCCTGCAGCTTGCAGGGCTAGACTGACTGCCTTCTTTCTGGCTCTGGCTTAGATTTCACTCAAGCCCTGCCCCTTTCTGATCATGTGCCTCCCCTGTCAGCTGACTTGTCTGGGCCAGGAGCTGCCACACCAGCTCTGGGTGCATAGTCCCACCCAGAAGGATACCTCAGGGATGGCACCATCCACTGTGATAAGCTCCAGCTCCTCCCTGGAGAGAGCCACTGCTTGGGGAGCCATGCGCTGTGCCCTTGCACCCCAAGGCACCAGTCAGAGCTGCACATCATCACTGCCTGTGGGGACAGGTCTGGGCCACTAGGGATGCCTGCCATGCCCATCTGGTAAGCCCTGCACAGGGAAGGGGGCTGGGGGAAAGGGCAGCAACATGGCCACCTGGGCATGCACCAGCTCTCCTGCTCCCCCCTGGGCTGCACACCTGGAGCCAGAAGCCTCCGTCCCTGCCCCTGTTCCTTGCCAGGAGCAAGCCCTGACCCAGCTTGGGAAGGGAACGGGGAAGGCAGGTTGCCTGTGGCAAGGACTAAGCGGGCTGCCTGCCCCTGTGGAGGGAGCAGGGATGGCGGGCTCAGCCAGTGGCAGAGGCTACCCGGCTGACAGCATGGTCCCTGAGCACCTCTGTGTGCACAACCCCCATCTGAGGCTGGGCAGTACAAAGCCCCCTGGTATAGTGCATGTTATCTCTGAAATGTTGCAAACTCTCACAAACTGCTTCTTTCTCCTAACTCTTCAGGTCCAGAAGCTGCATGTGGGGGAGAGGCACTAGCTGGACACTCAGGGTTACTGCCACACTCAGCTGGGGCTCTCTATATGCACTGCCTCTGACAGTGGCGGATGCAAAACCAGACCCTGCTGCTGGACCGTTGGTCACTGTGGTGGAGGAGAAGCATGCGGACTTGCAGTTCTAGCACGCTGAGGACATCTCGCGCAAGCAGGACAGGGACTGGGAGGACCAGGCATTCCAGGAGAGGCTCCTGGCCCTCAAGGAGAGGCACATTGCCCTCCTCAAAAGGATGTTGGAGGCCTAGGAGTGGCAGGCCGTCATGGTGGCCAGAGCAGTGGAGGCCACAGAGGAGGACTGATGGGTGCTGGACACCATCCTGGGCCTGGTGGTCACCTTTGTGCCACCCACTGCCCAGCCTCTGTCCTTGGTCCCCAGGATCCACCCCGTAGACACCTCCACACCACTGTCCCCCACCCCAGAAGGGCACACAGAGCACAATGTATGTAGTGTTTGCACAAGGAAGAGGGTGATTTATTGGGGGTGGGGTTGGTGGTGGAGTCTGTGTTTGGGGAGGGAGGGTGCAATGGGGTCTGTGTATGTGGAGGGAAATAAAAACTTTTGCTGAAAACTGTATGCGGTGAGCATGGTACTGGGGGTGCATGCTGGGCCTGGGGTCTGTGGCTGGCCACCCAAGGGGCCTACAATGTGGGGTGCAGGAGGAGGTGGTCTGTCAGGGCCTCTCACACATGACATGGTGTGCTGGCCCCCACTGCTGGGTGTGCAGCTCACCCGGGGCCCTGGTGGGGCAGGGGCCATTGCTGTTGCTGCCACCACAGCTTGTGCTCCCACTTCCAGGCATCCTCTTCCTGCCATGCCTCCTGTGTCCACGCTTCATGGAACAGCTCCCCCCAGGCCTCACAGATGTTATGCAGCACACAGCCTGCAATGATAACCTGGGGGATGTTGGCCTTGGAGACCTTGAGGTGGGTGGTAGGGGTGCCCCAGTATCCCTTCAGGCAGCTGAAGGTGCAATCCACTAGTGTGTGGGTCTAGCCCAGGCATGTTGAAATGTGCCTGGTGGGGGTTGAGCTGGCCAGTGTAGGGCCACATGAGCCAGGACAGAAGCGGGTAGGTAGGGTCTCCAGTGAGGAGGGGTGGGACAGTCACCTTGCCTAGCTGGAGGTCCAGAACACCTGGCATGAAGTGCCTACTCTCCACCAGGGTTGGCAGGGCAGAATTCTGGAATACCTGGGCATCATGGGTGCTGCCAGCTCAGCCAGCACTGATGTTAGTGAAGGCACCCCGGTGGTCCACCATAGCTCTAAGCACAGCCAAATGGAAGCCCCACCACTGTACTACAGGTGGTCCCCCCTGGGGTGGGCAGGTGATGGGGATGTGGGCCCCATCTAGGGCGCCAATGTACTGTGGAAAGTCCAGGGTGCAGAACCCTGCCACCACTTTGAGGGGCTCATGCATCCAGAGCATGGCATGCCCCAGCACATTCTGGAGGGTGCTGCAGACCTCCAGAACAGCTTCCCCGGCAGTGGCCTTGCCCACCCTGAAGAAGTGGCTAACATAGTACAGACTGGCAGGTGTGGCAAGCTTGAGGAGGGTGATGGCAATCTGGGTCTCTGCAGGGAGGGTCAGCTGCATGGTGGTCGGCTGCCACTCTAAGTGCAGGCACAGCTGGTGAAGTAGTTCCTGGAATGTGGCCTGGGTCATCTGGAAGGAGCCCAGCCACTGCTCGTCATCCCAGGTACTCTGGACAATGTGGACAAGTTCTGGCTGGCTGGGTGGGCCTGCAGGCAGCGGGGCTGGAGCCCCAGAAGCTCATGAATGGCACCCATGATGGCATCCATGTGCACGTCATCAGCATCTGTAACAAGGAGATGTCATGGAACCAGACAGCCATACTTGCTGAGAGTGGTGGCAGGAAGGGAGATGACTCCCCGATGTGCACTGCATTGTGCACCAGGAGCCAGCTCTGATTGACCCATGGACTCAGAAGGCCAAAAGAAATGCCGGGCGGTTCACTTCCCCCAAGGAGGGAAAGTGTACAAGCAGGCTCAGGCTGCAATATGGTCCATATGGAGGCACAGAGCAGAGTCAGAGCAGAACTGGAGCAGAGCTGGAGCAAAACCAGGACAGAGCTGGGAGCCTCAGAAGCCCAGAAAGGGACCAAGGACTAGAGGAAGCCAGTAGGAGAGCTGATGCAGTGAGTCCAGGTGGCAAGTTAGCTCTGGGTGGCTAAATTAGGAGTCGAGGCTGGGATAGGGGAAATGGGGGTCAGATAAGGAACCCTGCTAAAGAGGACAATTGCCTGAAGTGAGGGATTGATTGCCTGCTAAGGGATTGGAGCAGGGAAGAAAGGAGAGGCAATTAAGTAAGGAGGATCTGGCACGTCAAACTGACATGAGCCAAGAGTAAGTAGGTGGAGAAAAACCGATCTGGAAGACATGGGCGACTGGTGCCATGTTAGTCGCGGGGGGCACATGCTCAGCGACCAGTTAGCAACCAGCGGGGGTCCTCCCCGTAGCCAATCTCAACGACTTGTGGGGGAGGAGTTCCTCTGCGGCCAATCTCACCAACCTGGGGGGGGGGTGTCCCCTCACAGCAAAACTCACTGATCGGGAAGCGGCTGCAGCGCTACATCTGGTGCTCCCAGTCCCCAGCTGGTGCTCACAGGAGGGGCACTGGCACTCCCGCCTTTCCCCCAGCCCATCACCTAAGCAGGGAGCACGGCCTGTCAGGGGGTATACCAGCACTCTCAGGGAGTGCATGTGCACCCCTGTGCACCCCCTACGCATTGCCAATGCTGGAAGGACTTGTGAGCAGGGGATAATTAATTAAGAGTGGGCCTGCCCCATGGAGGGATTTATGTAAGGACTGATTTAAAACAGATAATTCCTCTGTAGGCAGTATAAGAACTGATTGACAATCTATAATTCCTCTGAGGGAGGAATATACTCATGAAGTTGAACTGAACACAGAGGGCATTGCTGACCATGCGGTACACGGGACCAAACAAAGTTGAGTCAGCAAGCACAGAAAATAAAGGAACTGGATGCATTCGCACAAGGGTTATAAACACCAGCCTGACAGAGTAGGGGTGGTGGAGCTTTGTGGAAGAAGCCTCACTGAACTTATGTCTCTGTATGGGCAAGATCAACTGCTGACCTCCCCATTCTTGTTTATTTTTCTTCAACACCAAGGTGTGGCAGGTAAGTGAAAAGGAGGACAGGGACCTGAGTAGACAGGAGCCTATCAGATGCACCTGCTGACAGTGTCCCTGTCAGGGTCCAGGCGGCAGCCCAGGGACTAGTCAGAGGCAGCCTGGCATCAGAGGGCCACAGGCAGAGCGGTGAGCCTGGCCACGTGGCAGACAGGTCAAGACTGACCTGTGCTAGGCAGTGGTCACTGTGGCAGTGAAGTGCAGCGTGTGCAGCAGCAAACAAGACCATGGTGCATGTCATCGCTGTAGGGCCTGGGGGTGGAGCAGCTATAGCATGCTGGGCACAGGCTCTGCAGTGTCATAGTGGGCTGTATCAGCAGGCTGCAAGCTGCTCTGGGCCAGAAAAACAGGTGGCCAGGGAACACTGCATGAGGTTGCCTTTTAAAGAGTGCCACTGGCTTTCATGGCCAGATCCTCCAGCTCCCCCTGGCTGCTGCATGGGGGCAGAGCAAGGCAGGAGTAGGCCTGGAGCAAGCTACTCTCATAAGAAGCAAATCTGCTCCCAAATGGCTGCTCATTTAGATGCCTGCCCAGGGCTGGTTTACTGTGCAGTAAATTACTGTACAGTAAACCCAAGTAGCATTAATTGCACACGTAGTTGCACCCACTGAGAAGGTAATTGCCTGCAGCTAGGCTTTTACAGCAGGGCTGTTTTATAACAGCTTGTAAGGCTCACTTCAAGGCCAGCCCACCCAATTACAGTCCCCTAGCCTGTTAGCTACTCCCTGATAAAGGAAGAGTGCACTGACAAGTGCTATTCTTGAGAAATCAGGAAATCCAGCAACAATTCACTATAATAGATACTACATTGACCCCCACAGGGCTCCTTTTTATAAACAAAGGGTTGACCTTACCTTTCACACTTCACACTGACAGAAATAGAATAGAGAGAAGTAAAAAGTATGGGGTCCATGGAGCCAATCTACTTATTCAGTGTGGGGGGGCCCCACCCCCATTACTAGAAGAAGGGCTGTGGCAGGGACAACCCAGTTGCCCCCTGCCTCTCCTCTCTGGGCCTTTCTTGTCCCTTTCCCCACCTGCTCTCCTTGCCCATGGCCCCTCTCCAGTGGCTATGGTGCCTCCCTCTCCACCAACACAGAGCTTACCTGATCGATTGGGACCCAGGTTGCCAGGCAACAGCTGACCAGGAGGTCAGGGATCAGAAATACTGGAGGGAATAAGAGGGAAGGGGAAAAGAGCAGCAGGGTGTCCAAATTGAAGAAAGTCAGAGTTGCTGTGGCTGTCCCTGGAAGGAGGACTTGAGGAGTCTCTGGGTAAACCCCTATGGGAGAAAGGGGAGCCAGAGGAACAGTCACACCATGACAACTGAGTAAACTATGAGATAAGTTGTTCTTTTTTTTTTTACATTTCTTTTGGGATCTGAACAAGCCCCAGTGGCAGCCCAGGCAGGGCTTCTGGCACCAGCCTGAGATTTAAGTTCTAACAGAATGGGGAGCATTCAGGAGCAGGGAGCCTGAGGTCAGAGCAGCTTTGCTGCTACACTGCCAGGGCAGTTTGGGTTCCCATACCATGGACCCGGAGTGGGGCCCTGGGCAGCTAGAGCAGAAGTGGCTGGGAGCAGAGGTGCCTGGCCGGACACACATCTGAGAATGTGCCAGCCTTGAAGATGCACCCCAGAGTAGCCTACATTCAGATAGCAGCTCATATAGACAACAAGTATGGAGAGGAAGGACAAGTGAAATAATGTAAAATGCAACACTCTACAATTCTGAAGAAGAGCAGAGGAAGCAAAAGCACATCCCAGAGCAGGATGATGAGGCCTGAATTATGCCCTTCCTGCTTACAGAACTTTATCTGCCTACGCTGGCATTTAGGGGATTCTTTTGACCTAAAAGTCAGCTTTCCCACACCACCTAGTAGTTATCTCCCTTTGAGCACATCACTTATGCTCCTGCTGATCTTAGAGCTGTGTTGATAGCCTCTGATACCTGCCTGGTCTCTGACAGACCATATTTGTGATGTACAAGCACATACTTTATTTCCTGTTATATCAGTAGCATGTCTTGCATCAACTCAGCAGAGTGTGTTTGGACAACTAGATAGCAATAATCCCTGGAAGCAGAGCCAATGCCTCTGTGGTTTATTTCAGCCAAGAATAATAAGGTAGTTAAGATTTTCAGGAGAGGCTGCCACACTGTGGTCAACCTAGGTCACTTAAATTTCCACATGCATAGGTTTGAAATTATACTATGAACGCTAATACTACATGTTAAATCCTAACCTAAATGTTAAAACACAGTGGAAAATAGTATACGACTATTTCAATTCCTACCCCCCAAGGACTGAAACTAGATCACACTTCCTTCTGGATTTGAATATTTTTCTATCATTTTAAAACCAATAATATCTAGAAACATCAATTTTTACAAA